GATACCACTCTGATGGCAGAAAGTGAGGAGGAGTTAAAGAACCTCTTAATGCGGGTGAAAGCGGAGAGCGCAAAAATGGTCTGAAATTCAACATCAAAAAACCCCCAAGAACAAATAAAAGGGGAAGATATGGAGGCAACAACAGATTTTACCTTCTTGGGCTCCATGATAACTGCAGATGGTGACAGCAGCCACGAAATTAAGAGATGCTTGCTTCTTGGGAGGAAAGCGATGAGAAACCTTGACAGTATCTTAGAAAGCAGAGACATCACCTTGCCAACAAAAGTCCGCATAGTCGAAGCTATGGTTTTTCCAATAATGGTGTTTGGAAGTGAGAGCTGGACCATAAAGAGGGCTGACCACGAAAGAACTATCTATTCTAAAGGAAATCAACTCTGAGTGCTCACTGGAAGGACAGATCCTGAAGCTTGAGCCTCCAATACTTTGGCCATCTTATGAGAAGAGAAGACTCCCTGGAAAAGACCCTGATGTTGGGAAAGTATGAAGGCAAGAGGAGAAGGGGACGACAGAGGACGAGATGGCTGGGCAGGGTCATTGAAGTGAACAAAATGAATTTGACCCAACTCCAGGAGGCAGTGGAAGACGGGAGGGCCTGGTGTGCTCTGGTCCATGGGGTCACGAAGAGTCAGACACGACTAAACAACAACAGGCAGTTCTAGATGTTATTTTGCTCCAGCCCCCATCATTGGCTCTGTAGACTAGGATGAATGGGAGTTGTAATCCAAAAACATCTAGAGGGCTATATGTCTCCCTCCCTTATTGGGAAAATCAGTGACCTGTTAGAGCAGTGCTTCCCAACCCTAGGAAACCCAGGTGCTCTTGGACTGCAGCTCCCAGAAACCCCAGGCAGCATAGTTGGTGGTAAACGCTTCTGGGAATTGCTGTCCAGGAACAGTTGTGTTACGCACGGTTGGGAACCACTGTGCTAGAGAACTGCAGAACAGGGCATTGGTTGGCAGAAGAATGTGTTTAATTCATACAAGCATCATATGATATTCCTGGCCAGTACACTGGGTGGGGAAAATAGCTAGACAAACCTCGTAATGCTAGGCTTTAGCATGGAGGAGGTGAAAGAGTCCAAAATAAGAACAGAAACCTCCAACATATGTGCTACATTCATCAACAACTCCTATTGTGAATGCCAGGAACTATCAGTAGGAAAGACCAGACTTTTCGTCTCTCTTCTTTTTGGATGCCTAACTCTTAGAATTCCCCATAACCACAGGCCAATGACCATCACAGCTGGAGGATTCTGGGAGCTATTGTCCAAAGAAAACACGTTCTGGTGTTAGATTAGGATTGGGACACCTGAGTTCAATATCTCCTTAGCCCTGAAAATCACTAAATGATTTAGACCAGGCTTGTCCAACCTGCGGCCCGAGGGCCGCATGCGGCCCAGGTCAGCTCGTAATGCGGCCCAGTGCAATTTTTTATTTTTAAAGAAAGTTTCAAGATACATTGCTGGTGCTTGCGGCCGGAATGTGGCCGGGGCATGTCACAACAGTAGAGGGGAGAGAGGCAAAGAAGGAAGGAGTGGGAGGGGAGGGGACAGGGGGGCTGCATGACTGCATTGCGCCGTCCCTGTCAATAGGTGGACCCCCTCCGGGCCCCATAAAGCTGCCGGAGTCGAAGCTGGCAGCCTCCGCTGTCTGAGATTGCAGCTGCTGATAAGCGCGTTTGGAGCAGGGCTGCAGAGGACGGCTAGGGGTGCCCCCCCATGCGGCCCAAACCAAATGTATGTGTGGCCCAAACCAAATTTTCATCTTCCATTGTGGCCCAGGGAAGGTGAAAGGTTGGACACCCCTGATTTAGACCAATTATTGCTTCTCAGTGCAATCTTGCTTAAACTATAGGGCTGCAGCTTTTCTTAACTCTCATAAGCATAGCCATTAGGAACAGGCTGTCTAAGCTTTGCTACTTACCCTGTGATCCTTTGCACTTTTACTGTGAAGTAAATCCTACTCTTCTATAATATTTACTTGCAGGTAATTATGTATAGGGTTATAGCCTTTGTTCATAATCTTGTAAGATTTGTGCTCAAGAAGGCAGAGAAGAGCAGTTTAGTTGTTTTAGTGCTTTTTTCTTTTATGAATTGTAATTGCTGTTGTCACTTGATGTGCTTATTTCTCTGTATATTACAGATACAAATACTTTTCTGATCTTGCTGATGCTAATCCTGCCACTCAGCAGTATCCTACATGCATAATTGTTAAATATTGTTACTGAACCAGGACAGGAATGGGTCCAGAAAGGCCTAGCTGCACCTCTAGGGTGTGAAGGCCCACTAATCTGCTTTCCCAGTACATCATGTTGTAAAAATAATTTGTCCTGAAGATCCACTTTATCTTGGATTAGTCTGTAGGAGAGTGATGACAAAAACTTAACTTGAAGCCTGGTGGCAGCTGAGAGGAAGAAATTCTAGTTACAATGAACAAGATGTACAGAAAGCAATGGAGTGGTTCAGCTCCCACAGATGAATGATTTGTGAAGGGTCTTTTATGTTAGTTTCTGCTTTCTTACTAACAGGACAGACTTCAGATAAGCTACGTAGTTGGACAGAAAAATGTGGAAGGAAGGGTGAAATTTATACCTATAGCAGACCTGGGCAGAGTGCGGCCTGAGGGCCACATACGGCCCACGAGCCGCTCCTGTCCTGCCCGCGGACAGTTTTGAACATCAAA